CCGTCATCAGAGTTATTTATTCTTACGCAATCTGACATCACGCCCGTATTTCAATCTCGGTGACATGAATCATGACTCAACAGTGTTCGTTCTGATTCTGGAATACGTATCAATAAATTATCCTTATCATGTATTCCATCAGCAAAAATCTATTCGGTTAGTATTTTAATTATTTTTTTTACAATTGTTTTCATAAGATATGCTGGTACTTACCTACGTATATCAGTCATGCTTGAAACCTCAGAACAAATATCAGTAACAATATATATTATTAATTTAACCCTTTAAAGAGTAGAGGTAACTATGTGTACCACCTGCTTTCCAATCAATAACTCTGCATTTTTACGAATTTCATGTGATTCTCAATGTAAACAGTGATTATTTCCTTAAACAGCTTTAACAAAATGGTCTTTGTAACGAAGTGTTGTTTTCTTTGCGGTACGGACCGGATTCTTAAATATTATTAAGTACAGCTGCGTACTTCAAGGACAGGTGTTACCCAAGTGATGAATAATATGCATTTTCAGAGGTATTTAGTTAAATTCATGGTACAATAACTAGCCAATAGCTTTAAATCATCTGTTCATCAAGTCATTACGAGATTTATATTAATTTGTTCCATCACTGTCACTAGGTTTCGGAAGGTGTGACACTTCCACGTATGGAGAGTAGTTTAGAATGTGTTAAATAAGCGGACGCGGACAGCCGACAGGTGGTGGTGCCAAACTTAGCGACCAAGATGGGAAGTCACAATTGTAGTATGTAAAATGTAACGTTTTAAAATGTTACACAGAGACTCGGTCTGACTCTTGTGAACACGGCAACAAATCTTTAGGTTCTATAAAATACTCAGAATTCATTGTATAGCTGAGCAACTATTAGCTTCTTCAGAAAGAATTCTGCTTCATGGAGATAGTGTGTTTAATTTCGTCATTAATTTTGTGTACTTTTAAAATCAATATTCTGTAATAGGATGATTAAAATTATAAACATTCTGAAACGTAACCATAAAATATATGATATTACGTACTTGCAATGTGGGGGGTCGACTTCTTTTGAAAAATTGGTCGCAGCCCATTGGTTAACACTGCTTCGTGTTTGGAAGATATTGGATTCGAATCCGGGCCCGGTGGCCATCTACTTTCACTGATCCTTTTCACACTTTCCTTTCTCCCCTCGAAGAAAATGTCCTTGAAGTGTCTTAATTCAGGTCAAGGCTATTTTTATTTGGAATCAGCATTTATTAATCATACCATTCGACGCTACAACACACGGACTAAGCTATAGACTAACTAACTAACTAACTAGATGGCTTACCGAACCCGAAGGTTCATCACCGAATTAACCAAAGCCCTCCACCGGACCCTGTCTTGGGCCAACAAAATCCAGTCTCCTTCAACTCCTATCTCCCATAGATCCCGCCTGAGATTATCCTCCCATCTACGTCTAGGTCTCCCCAGCGGTCTCTTCCCTTCAGGTTTCCCAACCAGTACCCGGTGCACACCTCTTGTCCCATCCATGCGCGCTACATGTCCCGCCCATCTCACTCTTCTCGACTTAATCACCCTCACAATACTGGGGGAGCAGTACAGAATTTTAAGCTCGTCATTGTGCAGTTTTCTCCACGCCCCATCGTCTTCCCTCTTAGGCCCAAATATCCTCCTCAACACCCGATTCTCAAACACCTTAGACATCGTCGTTAAATAAACAATAAATAAATTAATGAACTTTTGCCGTCCTGACGTCAAGGCATCGTCATTTAATTAATACAGGTCTTTAAAAGAAAAACTGAAACCCAGATAAAGTGCGTATAATTAAAATACCACGTCGTTTAATTTTCTCTGCAAGAGAAGTCTGATGATGGTCTCTACTTCTTTTCCTTTGTCAGTTCCTTTATACTCCACATTCATCAATGTTTTTTTTCTCTCTATATTTTCACTGCTCCTTACTCCTTATGCCTGTTTTATATTTGTTTTGTGTTTATTCTGTAAATGGGTGTGCATGAAAGGGTATGTCGTCAAAGGCACGATGATAAACTTTTCTTCCTCTGAGTATAGAATGTTCGTTCCCCCTCTCCGGTCATATCAAAAAAAAAACAAATAATTTGTTTTTTCTTAAATGAACTCCTAACATGAGTGGCTTTTGTAACAGATGTGCAAATGAACACACAGGCAATACGACATAAACATGAATACGTGCCCCCCCCCAGCTAACATTTTTTTTAAATTATGAAAATGAAAAGTTACTTCCGTACATAACTGATATATGTAAAAGAAACATATTTTAATTCTGGCCACATTTAATTCGTACGGATGTGCGTGATGTAAAATCATAAAGAAACTGGTTAGGCACTTACAAACTTTTGGTAGACGTAGACAACTTATGAAACGTTTGTCGCAGGAACACAATAAATACGGTATCAATTTCAATGTGAAATAAATAAATTACATTTTCCTGTAACATTAAATACCCCATACTTCGTGAACTCAACACGTAAAAGTGTGTTCCCGATATCACGACATTAATATTTTGGTACAGATAATACTGTAAAGCAAAAATAAAGATTTCCTTAACAGTAAGCCCCCAAATTTTGAGTTTTTGGGGCGCAAAACACAAAATTAATTTTCACAAGAAACTATTCTGTAGACTTTGTGCATGAAAAATGTTAAGTTGCTGAATCTCGAAGCAGATAGTTCATATATTTACATTTTTAATTTTTATTTTAATTTCTCCAACCTTTATTATGGATCTCTGGCTACGAAGTAAATTTTTAAAAATTAAAAAAGGCAATAGTAATTCACGATTACAATGAAAAGAATGGATCAAAGACAAATTACAAGAGAAACGTATGTAAATATGATTATTATTATTATTATTTTATTATTATTTATTTACTGATCTTTAAATATATAAAAAAAATTAAGGAGGTAATTTCAGTACCAAATTTATGCTATTGTTTCCTGATAAGTTTATTTCCAGACGAACCTCTGACCTTTGCTAAAATCCACCGCTGTTGTGTCACATTTAAATTCATCAATCAGTAACCCAACGTAATTCAGAATTATAACTTTCGCAAAGAAACTACGTAAGCTATACGAAGTATGGAACTATATGTCCCATAATCCTTTACCTTGACTTCATGTATAATTGAAGTGCTAATCAATTTGTGCCACCATTCCATTATAGTCATTTTATAGGAACGCTCTAATGTTCATTTCCTTTGCTGTGGCTTCATGTCTGCTCGTATGCAGTACCAAACTCTCTCTTTCCAAAAGGAGTTTAATTAAATTTGATATGGCAAAAGCTTCTGCTTTAATGTATCGACCAAATTCAATTTTGGCCCGCGTTGAACAATTAAGACTACCGAGCGAAACGATACTCGGCTCACAGGAGAAGTAGATGTTCATGTTTAACGTATCAAACTATTCTGGTGCATTTAGGATACTAATTCCACTTTTGCAGTATCGTTTCCTATTCTGGCTCGTGACACCGTGTAATCTTGTAGGTTAAGATGGACACAGTACGTTCCTCCTAAATGATTGTATTCAACCACAAGATTACACGGTGACACTACACAGATAATCACATATTTTACATGTTATAGAATCGAGGAAGACATTTTTCATTTAACTGCTATTGTAACCACGAGATCGTGCCACTTTCCGGCATCTTGTAATAACACAAATGTACGTGGATTTTGAGACGAGAATTTATGAAGCGGTATTTTCGTCTATATTCTATTTGTGAGTGCTACACCACTTACTCTGCCATTATTACAAACAGTACACAGTAGAAAATATTGCTAGTGTGATTAATCAGTGTCCATGATACACAAGATACATTACGCTTAGAAGGATTGGCTCTTCTGCTATGGATTTAATTCGTGTTTGTTTATGTCAATGTTTCACCATCGGTAAACGTGGCATTTCAACAATATAAATTGTTTACAGAAGACATATTCCTAAAGTATAATACAGCATGTCATATTTTACTTACGTTTCTGGATGCAGTGTTTATGAGAACAGAAACAATCCACTCACAGGCAAACAAAAACTTTCCATGAGTCAGCACACGAGACACTTCGCTTCAAATCTTAATACAAAAGCGTGTCACCAGAGTGCAGTTCTGCCTGACGCATTGCCATCTGTAAGGTTGTGTTTCCCAGTACTGGAATGCTGATGAATCATAAAACATGTACTGTTCGTTAAATATTTAAGCAGTTCTAATATAACTGGATCGTTTGGTGATCCAGCGGGCATAAATTGGATAAAAGCGACACGAAAAGGAATAATGTGGGGTTCTATTATGTCAGCTGCAGTTTTCTGTTGGTTTCTACAAGAACTAGGTGAGTAAGCAAACACGTGACCTTGTGTGCGTGCGAAACTCAAGGTCGTGTCGATACAGAAATTTGCTTATAATGAACTGCGTCTAAATATTTCTGCCGATGGTATATTATTCTATAAGTTTCTTTCACAAACATTGCTTCTGTGTAAACGTCTTTGAGCTATGTTATTTTTTAAGTTTCGCGCATATTTCGCTTTTGCTGAAACAAAAATTTCGTTACGAAATCCATCTTATCTTCTTCTTTATCTTACTATTTTTTACTATATTATATTATATATCTCCTTATAAAAATTTGTGATTAGTCGTCGTCGTCAATAAATTACGTCATCAACAATGTCAACTATAAACAAACTCGGCATTGTTGTGTTCCACAACAATGCCGAGTTTAGTGTCTTACTCAAGATTTTAAAACGCAACCAACCCTCCCCAAAACGTGGGTTGTTCAAGTGTTTAACCCGCATTCGGGGGACTTAGTTTAGAGTCTTACTCAAGATTTTAAAACGCAACCAACCCTCCCCAAAACGTGGGTTGTTCAAGTGTTTAACCCGCATTCGGGGGACTTAGTTTAGAGTCTTACTCAAGATTTTAAAACGCAACCAACCCTCCCCAAAACGTGGGTTGTTCAAGTGTTTAACCCGCATTCGGGGGACTTAGTTTAGAGTCTTACTCAAGATTTTAAAACGCAACCAACCCTCCCCAAAACGTGGGTTGTTCAAGTGTTTAACCCGCATTCGGGGGACTTAGTTTAGAGTCTTACTCAAGATTTTAAAACGCAACCAACCCTCCCCAAAACGTGGGTTGTTCAAGTGTTTAACCCGCATTCGGGGGACTTAGTTTAGAGTCTTACTCAAGATTTTAAAACGCAACCAACCCTCCCCAAAACGTGGGTTGTTCAAGTGTTTAACCCGCATTCGGGGGACTTAGTTTAGAGTCTTACTCAAGATTTTAAAACGCAACCAACCCTCCCCAAAACGTGGGTTGTTCAAGTGTTTAACCCGCATTCGGGGGACTTAGTTTAGAGTCTTACTCAAGATTTTAAAACGCAACCAACCCTCCCCAAAACGTGGGTTGTTCAAGTGTTTAACCCGCATTCGGGGGACTTAGTTTAGAGTCTTACTCAAGATTTTAAAACGCAACCAACCCTCCCCAAAACGTGGGTTGTTCAAGTGTTTAACCCGCATTCGGGGGACTTAGTTTAGAGTCTTACTCAAGATTTTAAAACGTCTGACTGACCTAGAAAAGTTGTCCTCTGTACTACGACGTAAAAACTAAAACATCAGACATATTTAAGAAATAAAGAGAAGCGAAGGAAGTCTTACATTGATAAATGTAGAAAAAACGTATTCAATAAGAACAGAGGGGGAAAAAAGCAGACGAAGATTTGTAAGGGTGGGGTTGGACGTAGAAAGTTGAGTGACTTGGTTGCGTTTTACAAACTTGACCAACCCCCCCTAGGAGCTCCGAAAGGAGCGCCCTGCTCTAGTTAATTAAAATGGTCGAACTACACTGATTCACAATTGTAGGTCTACGTACTATACACCACGCGCACACATTTCGACAGCAAAGCGCCGTTGCCTTGGAGATAATGCGAAATGTGCTGTGTACACAAAACGTATAATGTGTACAGTTGTGTAACAATACTGAAACACAATGATAACAGAACAATTGACAGAATCCTATAGCTCGGAGGGGAGTCAGTTTAATATGACTTCATGTCAGTCACTGAAGGTCTCCAGCTGTGGGTTGGACAATAATGGAACCTGTCACCATCTGGTTATTATTGCTGTCTAGTGAAGAAATGTTATAACCAACTGCACACTACTAAACAAACGCCATCGAGAAAGAAATGTAAATGATAATTAACAAGTAAGTCGCCTACAGTTCAAATTCTGTCATAATAAATAATTTGTAAGACACTGCGCAGGAAAATTCGATTTGTGCAGTAATTGTTGAGCTCTTGAAAAGAAAAGAAAAATCCTTGTTATATATTCATAAGTTTCAAGGTTACCAGAAACCCCGCCAGCTAATTCCCATCCATATTTTAACAAAATATTTCTATGTGCTCAATTTTAATATTATCCTCCCAAGTAAATCTGTGTTTCTAAAGTGGTATTGTTACAGTTATCAACAAAATGTATTTCTCCTTATCGCTCGCGAACTACATGTCTGCTCTCTTTCAGTCGTCTTCAGTTGGTAGCCCTAACAAATTTGAACGAATAGTGTAAACAATAAAGCCTCATTATGTTCTCTTACCCATCCCTCTATTTCCGTATATTGTATGTATTTTTCGCTTGAACATTCTTTTCAAATGGCGCCAGTCTTTGTTCCTTCAGACTGAATGTGTTGCGATGATAGTTTTTAATTATTTGCAGTAACCTTTTTCATTATTTTGAAAGCGTGGAAAAGTAATTATTTAAACGCATTGCAAAATGTATCGATTCGTTCGAAAAGTCGCTCTTCTTCACGTAACCCGATAGTGCTGCCATCATTGAAAACACGGAATATTGAGTTTGATCATTTCCTGCCATCTATGTTGTGTAGCCGAAGTACGTGGAGAAACCATCAAGTCGATGATGGCGTATATTTTCAGGTTGGTAGTCATGTGCAGTGTCATGAAAATATATTAATAAATATTTGGTACTAATATAATATAGTTGAGTTTCTTGATTATCAATAAAGGCATAATTAATACGATTATGATAAAAGTTTGTCATACATCTTCATCGTTAGTGTCTATAAAATGTTCACCTTTATGACACAATACATAGAAATCACAAAGTTGGAGTCCTAGTGCAATACCATTTTTCCAAGTATTACGAATGAAAACCATTTCCACTTTTCGATTTTTAAAAAATACTGACATTTATAGAGAAGTTTACAGATTTGTTATGGATATGAGTTGGTCCTACTATTAATTTCTTTAAAATACTACGTAATGTAGTTCAATCCAAACTGGTGACGTCTTTGGTACGAACTTCCAACGTCCCCCTCTCCTGCTCGGATGGCGTGAAAAATACTTTTGTCGTTGGCACTGAAAAGGAGGGTTCTCTAGTAAGTCTGGTAACAAACATATGTTGTAAAGCGTCGAGCTTCATTTGCAGTGTGTCGTATTACATTACGTGATATATCATTTCTCGTATCAGTGCTTTAGTACGTCTACAGGTAAAGTAGAGTTTTAAATACTGTAATTTGCACTCGTGAATACTCCCAATAAATTTGACGTAGGTCGCCATCTTTGCTTTAAAACTTTCTTTGATATAAATCCGACATCATCCTTTAATATGGCAGTTATTTTAAACATTGACGATTAGTGCATGCATTAGAATTAGGGAATGAATGAAATATAGGAGTGTCTATTTTTGTACAAAATGGTTTTGAAATTTTGACATTCGTGCCGTATAACCAGTTTTGAATGGTATACGTAATACGGTTTATTTATTGAATTGTCTCAGGTGGACTGCACTTAGGCAATTTTGAGACAAATTTAATCCGCTTTGAGTGTATCTTAAGAAGGTATACACTTTTAAAGGCTAGTCGTATAAATACTGCAAAAATGGGATAATATATAAATATTAAGTTTGTTTTTTTTTGTGAAAATTAGTACAGTTTTGCATGCAATTGGTATTGCAACTGGAAAGTGTTCCAAAGCATCCTGTTATACTTGGAAATGTACCAAATACATTCGCTTATTTTATGGAACTGAAAACGTAACCTACTTTGATGTAGGTTAGTAACATGTTCAGATTGCATTTGGCTGGTTGGAATCTGATGACTTGATAAAAATTTGTAGTAGGTGTACCATTTTCAGTGACCGTTGTACTACATATATTATTTTCTTAGGAGAATACTTTGGGTGTAAGGAATGTTGCAGAAGTGGCATTTTGGTTAATTGTGGATTGTCCAATGTCGATCTTCTGTAGTGTTTGGAGTGAATGTGGAGTTATTTATTAAAGTCATTGGTGTTATGGGAGTAGAACTATTGAAAACTTGAAGATAGGTTAATTTTCCCAGTGGGCAGTGTTTTGAACCAATATATGATGTGCAGATGTATCCTTTACCTATGTTTTGTGTAGGCAATTGAATACAGCATATGGATTTTCAAGTGCTTGGTTATGATGTGTCTTTCTCAGTATTTTGTCTGCAGTAAGGCCATATTTGTGGTAATTATTTTAATTAGGTCATCATATCACATGAGATGAACTTCGGGATCTTGCTAACATTTTGTATGCAGGACACTTGAAATATATAATGTGCCTTTTTATAAGTTTTCCAGTACGTGGCACAATATCCTGCAAGGTCCTCATAATGGAATCATAGAGTTTCTTGAAATAAAAAATTACCCACTATATTGTTCCATTGTATTCCCATTTTTTTCTGCAGTATCTGCCTTTATAGAATATGTGATCGGTACATGATTACTTAGCAGTCTCAGCCGATGTCCCTCGGTAATATTGAAATTAACCTTGAAATAACATTTTGTTTGTAGTTAACAGTGATATTTCTTGGAAACTACATAATATTATTACCCGTTTGAAATTGGTACAATACATTCGTTTAATATATGGTATTTATATCTTTTCAATGGCATTCTTGACCTCAAAGAGATAGACTCAGATGCTGATCTCAGCTGTATGTATTTGCCTCCCTAACATCAGTAATGTGATGCATAAGTGAGTGTTTAGTGCAGACCCTGCCAGGGCTAAATTTTATTTCAGATCTATTTATTGGTTTTGAAGATGAAACGTGGAAAAGTATGATCTTTTCATTATATATGGATTTTTTTAAAAAGTAATGCAGTTTTGTTGATGTGTATGTGAGGCTTAAAAATAATTCAAAGATTTTTAGCCATGAGCAAGAAAGAATTAGTAAATGGCCTGTAGTTTTTCTCCGGTAAGTTAAAACTTTGCCTGTTTTATGGTTCCTTTTTAGCAGTTAATAGATGAGCGTATTTGTGTCATCTCATGTAAGACTCTTTGTTGTCTGTTCAAGATAAATCAAGATTAGAGTAATTGGTAAAATGTTTCCTTTGTTTAGCTCTGAACCGTTTTATTATCTTTCTAGGAAAATAAAGATTAAAAGTATCAGCCATTGATATTTTTAATATACTTTCTGTTTCCCTTTCTGAGGTTAACAACTGAATTTAAAGGTAATTGACAGAAGAAAATTAATTTGAGTTATTTTTAAACATAAAAGCATTGCATTTATTTGTGATGCATTAGGTCTTTTCAAGGTATTTGGATTTTAGTTCATTTTAATCTTTAAAGAATTTATGATTTTAATCATTATGGGTCATATCTTTCTTTATCTTTATGTACAGAGTGATTCAAATTCCCTGTGCACACACACACACACACCATCTAAGTGGAATGTGTCGTGAGATTGTCTGTGCACACACACACACACACACATACCATCTAAGTGGAATGTGTCGTGTGATTGCTTGACCTTATAAACTACTTTCCATCAACTATTTGTGTTGTGACTATAAGAAATATGTTTGTGTTTTTACAGGTATACATTGAGTTTTGAATTACTGTATTTCATAGTTTTGAAGTCAAAGAGATTTTTGCAGGGATTATAGTGAATCCTCAGGTGTCTCATTCAAACTCATAACCTTTGGAATAAACATATTGGGCAGGGATGATGGCATGTTTGTGTTAACTGTGTTGCCCTGCTAACACATTTAACATAAACGCTTCACCTGTGATTTTGAGTGTCTATTAGGATAATTAAATCGAGGATTGTGTGAGAAATAGGGCATGGAGAGGTGAATACATGTAAAAATTTTTGTAGGAAAGCTACATATAGTTAGAAAGATATTGTTAAAATTATCTTCGAGAAATTTTATGGAAGTGTGGATGGCATTATCTGGCTTAGAATGGGGACTGGTGGGGTCATGTTAACATTGTATTGAAACTTCAGGCTTTAAAAATGGCAGGAAATTTCTAGTCTGGTTATGTGATATTTATTTTTTTATGGACTATGCTCCATAGTTTTTATTTACTCGTGATTACCGCTGACAGTTGCAGTAGTCTTTGGGATTCTTTGAGACTGATTTAAAAATTGGTTAGTTCTGTTCAATATAAATATCAAGTAGTATACAGCAGTTTTATAAGTTTGATGTCTACAGTGTTTTGGCTTAGAATGTGTTCTGCCTCCCATAAAAACTGCAAGTATTTAAAATTCCTTACAGAGTGTACTTGGGCATTTATTCATCATTGTGAAATTAATGGCAGTTCAGGAGTAAGTTCTAATTTCAAAATGGTGCTTTCTCAGTAACTGGACAGACCTCAATTTTCCTATTGCACGTAACTACCAAGAATTTTGCGGCTTTTAATGAATATTCTTAAATATACGTGTATAGAACCTGATACAAATTTTGTATTAACAAATTTATATTTATAATCAGAATTAATATGTTGGTGAAACTGATTTTTTTTTCTTTTATTTCCAGGATTTAGCCTGTTACTGAGTTGTACGATCTTTACGCTGCGCTTGGTAGTGCTACGCAGCGGTTTACCAGTGCCATTTCAACAAGTGGTGAAAGTGGAAACGTGAACTATTAAATATCATAGATACAAACATTTGGCCATTCTTGGCCCATCGTAATCATGATGACAGAAACGCATATTAATTCAAATCATGTGGCAGTCATGCCAGGACTGAACAGTATAAACACTCGTAAGGAGTAAGTAACGATTTCTCTCGACATCTTATAAAACCGGGTAGTTTGTAATTTGATTTTTAGTTTTGTGGAGGTCATTTCTGCGTACATGATCTTTTTTTTCTGCGTAAACTTCAGCCTGAGTGAATCCCCTACTTCAAAATTTTAAGCGCTAATTACATTCCCTGTTTTGTATAAAATTAAAATATTTTACGTAGATGTGATGATTGCAGTGTTGGATTCCCCATCACTTACCTGATGAGTGAAAATGCAATTCTGATCTGTGAAGCCTTTCTGTATATCCACGTGGAATTCGAATGATCCGTTGTCCTTTCTGTATATCCACGTGGAATTCGAACGATCCGTTCGTCTTTTTTTTTTTTGAATATGAAGAAAATGATTAATCGCAGTAAGCTAACCTCGGTCTGAAGCCTCACAGTGTATATTGAAATGTGCGAGCGTTTGTGTTCTTAATTGGAATGGTTACAGAACGTTGTGATATTGAGGTTGAGTCAGTGTTGGTATGAGTGGTGTTTGAAATTTCATATTTGAGTGTTATTTTAAAATAAGATCTTTTGTGTCCTGTCATTCTTTGCCTTTCTGTTGGTTATGTATGTACATCAGAATTGTTTAACTCGGGTGTAATCTCTTCCGTAATGAATTTCAGCAGAACACGTGTATTAAGTCTACATAAGTGACGGAATACTTTTTTCTGCCCTTCTAAATACAGGCGTACCTCGTTTTATTGTGCGTTTTTTTTAATACAAATTGAAGGTTTGTGGCAACCCTGCGTCGAGAAAGTCTATCGGCGCCATTTTTCCAACAACAACGTGCTTGCTCCATGTCTCCGTGTCACATTTTGGTGATTCTCGCAATGTTTTTTTAGACGTAATGCTATTTCACGCTTAATAGACTACGGCATAGTGCAAACATAACTTTTATATGCACTGGGAAACCAAAAAAAATTTGTGTGACTCGCCTTATCGCGGTGGTCTGGAACCGAACCAGCAATATCTCCGTGGTACGCCTGTACTTCGAGTTTAACTGAAACATTTTTTATGTTATTTGCTTTTTTTCCACAAAAGCTTTTTTTGATTCTACCGGCTCATCATTCGTGTCCAGTTGTACGAAACGCTAATAGAATGACTTCTTTACAGTGAAGGTGATAAAGTAGATGATATTGGGTGGAAGGCGAAGTTGAAAATACCTCCAAAAGACAGGAGGGTGCAGACAAGTGTGAGTTAAAACACTTTTTACATGAATTTTGCTTTTTTAATTTAAGGAGTGACAATTAGTGGGTTACACGTGCACGGAAAGTGCCTCGTGGGTTATCGGGACACATCGCTTTAGAGAAATAGGGTAGGTTAGGTTAGTTTTCGTTATATTGAAATAAAATATAATAACTTTGAAATATATGTCATTTATCCACACACATTAACCTAACCTAACCTATTTTTAAAGCGATGTGTCCCAATAACCCACAAGTATCTGCTACTGCCCTCATTTGTTCATCAATTATCGTAATAGCATATATTTATATTTTCAGATAATTATTAATTTATTATTGTACATTAACTTGTGTGCGCTTGTGCATTGCTGGACGAAGTATGTTAAAAAGATGGTGATTTATCATTTTAATTGTAGTAACTACGTTGCACGTACGTTTTGACTTGACCCACGTGTCTGTGATGGCGTACATTAATTGGTAATTTATATTGATTTGTCATGTAAGGCCGGGAGTGAAATGCAAATGGCGGAAGTTAAAATGCCGGCGTGCTAGAAATTTTTTATTTTTGTTTTAATTAGGATGTGACAGACACCAGAGGTAATGAGTTTGAGGAGTTCTGCTTAAAACGGGAATTGTTGATGGGGATATTTGAAAAAGGTTGGGAAAAACCGTCTCCCATCCAAGAAGCCAGTATTCCCATCGCTCTGTCTGGGAAAGACGTACTAGCACGTGCCAAAAACGGAACCGGCAAGACTGGCGCATACTCCATTCCCGTACTGGAACAAGTAGATCCCAAGAAGGATTGTATTCAAGGTAAATTATCGCGTTTATTTGATAAACGTGATCGGCATTTATGTACTGGTGTACACTTATCAGTAGAATACGGTACTATAATTTCAGGTCGAGATTGGCGATCCATTCGAGTGCTGGTGGAGAGGCTAGGAGGAAATCCGATTGTCCCCCTGGATATGCCCTAGGG